ACAAACGTCGAAAGCGTTTAATTCGCTTCCGCCTAGAAAATTACGAAGAAATCAATAAGACAGCGGAAAGATATTTTATATAGCTTATTATCTCTTGTCAAGTTGTATATATAAGGATATATATTCAAATGTTATAAAACTTTATAATACTATTATTCTTATATTTTTACTTTTCCTTTCTATTTCTTTGTTAATTTCTTTTATGTCTTAATTTGCCATTGAAAATTTTTGACTTGTTTTGAAAAGTATTTACAAAAATAAAAGGCAGGTGGCGTGTTTTTGTATCTTTCCATTTCTTTCTTTTTATCTTGCTTCTACTCTCTCTCTCTCTTTATCTGTCTTTTTCTGTTACCTTCACCCCGTCTTTTTTTCTTCCTTTCTATTCCTTCTTTTATTAAATTAAAGATTACAAAAAGTTCTCTACTCTAAATAATATAGACCAGATGATAGCGTTGATGATAACAAAAATGAGTAACAATTATTTTACATTCAGTATACTCGATATGCAGTACACATACACGTATATAGTCTATATACTCTACTGTAAATACGCAAACCTAATATCAGGCTATTTTAGTGCTATACTATCAAGACATTTTATTAATTGTTCATTTTTTCAATTTCTTGCTCGTGTCATTCTTTTTTTTCTCTTTATTAACCACGAAAAAGGTTTCAATTTCCTTGTTATTTTATCTTTCTATACGTTTCTCTTAAATATTTATTGTATTCCTTCACTAAGACATATTAAAGATTTTCCTTGTTAATTCTGTCAAACTATTCTTAATATGAGTATAATTAATCGATAAGCGTCGTAGAGTACACATCACACCCTTAGGTTTTGTAATAAATAGACAATGGGATAGAGGGATAGAGGAGGAAGCTAAATCTATTCTTTCTAACAATAAAATAGCGTATTTAGGCCTAGAGGAGAAAATAAGATTCGAAAGAGTTGAGCAGTAGAAGGGTTACTGTAGGGCTAGGATAAGAAAAGTAGGCGATGAAAGGTCGGATTTATTGAGGGGTAGAGAGGGTGGGCGGCAGAGTAAGAAATAAAGAAATGAGAGAGAGAAGAAATAGAAGGAGAGGTGTGAAACAGGGGCAAAAAGGGGCGGATAAAGAGGAAATATATATATTGGGAATATAGATGAGGTTTAAGCTGGAGAATTAGAACAATAGAACAATAGTTGAAAAAAAAAAGAATATTTTTTCCGTCTTAAAAAAATATGATGATAGGAAAAAAAAGAAGCAAAGAACCGCACGTTAAAAATGATGACGAATAAAGGATAAATTGGGAACGGAATAAATAGGTATAAAGGTGTCATTTGTTACAGATATATAAGAAAAAAATCAGACAATCCATAATCTCGTACTGATCGACGGTGTAGAGGAATTGATGACGCATCAGCAGTCTCTTGTATAAATGTATACCGTATACTGTGCTATATATTTTCTATATAATAATTTTACTTGGCAATGAATCTCGGCTATGAATCAATTTTAGAGGGCATATCCTTATATTTCTATATTCGATTTAATCCGCAATAATCAAATCTTATTTTTTTTTCGCTTTACACTCATAAAGTAGTTCATACTAAAGCCAGTTCGACTATGTACATATATATACGGCAATATGCAATATATCTCCTCATTTATAACAATGAAGGCGTAAACGTAAATAAAAGGATAATCCTACAAGCAAGAGAATTCTTACATAGTTCTCTTCTTCGACATTAAAGAAATAGAAGAGAGACAGACAGACACAAACAGAGAATGAGAGACAGAAACTGACAAATTGTCATGGAAAGACAAGAGGCAAAAAAAAGGGGGGGGACGAGGAGAAAATAGACAATCTTATGGATGGAAAATAAAAAAAAACAATAGAATTAAAAACATGAACAAGACTGAAATATTGATATTTTAGTTATAATATTTACCGTTTTCGTAAAGCAGTTCATACTATATGGTATATATGCACCTTCAAAACATTAAATATTAAGCCGCGCCTTTTGCAGTGCCAATCGACGACTGCAAACAATAATAAATTTTTGGTACTTCATCATTGGTTAATAGAAACTTGGAAGGCAACAGATGAAAAAACCGGTAATGCATATATTTCACTTTTTTTTATTTTAAAAAACTGTTTCTTCCTTTTTTACTTAAGAAAAGATTTTCATTTTGTTTTTCAAGAATAAAAAGAAAGAGAACAATTTTGTTTTTTAAAAAAAAAAGAAAAAAGTCTTATTTTTTTTCTCTCATAAAAATTTAACGAAAGAGAAGAAAAAGAATAAATAAAAAAAGAATAAGGAGAAAATTAGAATATCCTGCAATATTATTTAGTATGAAAATGTTAATTCTTTTGCGGTATATTAATGTTTATTAAGACAAAGATAATGCTACTAGTTTTTGCAGTTTACTGATAATAATCGTATTAGATAAATTGATTTAAGATTAGAATAAAAATCTTATTCACCTTATTTGAACAGCAATTCATTGTAGGTTTAATTGAAATTTAATGCACACCTTTTGCAGTCGCGATTCGCAAAGAACAAAAGCGGAGAACAAAATTTTACAGTACGTCGCTGTCGTTCGGTACTCTTGGCGGCGTTATAAAAAAAATCGACTCACAAGACGGTAACAGGTAACAAGAAAGGCTATACTAGCCTGGGAAAAAGGGCGATATGCTAAAAATAGATGAAATCTATTTTTATACCCATCCGGCTACGAGAATAGTAACAAATCAACTTGTTTTCGCTCGCGGTACACTCACTCACTCTACTGCAGTCTACTGCAAACAACCGACTGCAGGAAAAAAAGTCGGACAAGTGCGCGCTCCGAGACGATCACGTGATCTGATAAGAAGAGTTTTATAGTTTGCTCAGGCCTATGTAGTCTCCCTTTCCCCTCTCCTTTCCTTAACGGCTTCTCAACAATTGATGAAGTTGAGTCTGAATGCCTGCTATCCATCCCCCTTTCTCTTTTTTAATAATTCTATTCTTTTCAATCCTCTTTTTCTCTTTCTCTCCAATTTTCCCCTTCTCTACCTCCCTCCACTCTTCTTTGTTATCCTAATAAAAAAAAGTTACCCATATATTCTTTTCAATCTGTTAGTTTTCTCAATTGTTTATAAAACACCTACAATTTAATGATGCAAATGACGTAATAGAAGATATATCGACAATAACTCTTGTTTCCTTAAGAATATCTTCTTTCTTTTTTGAAATCTAAAAGGAATATATTAACAATGCCTTTTTTTCTCTTTCTCTTCTCAAATACACAGTGGCGACATCTCTTTTTACAAAAAAATTATCAATTGAAAGCCTGTTTACAATGTAAACCGTAAAAGTATCAATCTTTATATTCTAATTCCTTTCTTAATAGGACAATAAGCCTTCAAACAATGCTTGAATAATTAAGGGATAAACATCAAAAAATCACTTTAAAAGATGTAAAAAACATCTGCAAACAAGAAAAGCAGAATGAATACAGTATCAGCTGCAAAATAATCATTTCCGTATCGTCCTAAGATCCTAATAAGAATTATTAATGATCATGCTCCTCTAAATTCAAAAGACTTTCTTTAAATTAACAGAAAAATGAAGGAAAATGTACTAATTTTCTTAAATAACCTTCGAAGAGAAAGTTCCAATTAACTCCTATTTTCCTCAACGAGTTGCACTAAGAATTATATATTTTGGGTGACCTACGTAACAATACTCGCTACAAAACTATCTTGGGAGAGAGAAAGATTAGAATTTCCACCATAAAATTGGACTTTTTATTCTCCTCGAAGCCATAAAAAAACTGCATAATCATTAATTTCCCAAAAATAAAGGATCTATTAATCTATTAGTTACATTATCCTTGATTTTAACACTTTTAAACAATTGATGAAGAAGATATAAAAAAAACACGTCTAAAAATGGGAAATCATACAGTTTTAGTTCTTTTAGAGCCACGTACTTTGGTGCTTTTTTTAATCTTATTCTTTATACATATTTAAGCATAAAACTGTACTTATTTGTGTATTTTAAATTATACACCTTTCCCACCTTTTAATTGTCTTGTTTTTCGTTCGTTTATATCTAGAATTCTGGAGAAGAGAGACAAAGACAGAGATTTTATTCTCTCTCCCTCCCTCTTTTCATATAATAAATTAGCAGTACGTTTAGAATGTTGTTTTCCTTGAAAAATTAGTAATTTGTAACAGTTATATACATTGAAGGGAAAACCATTCGCAAAGATTACTTAGTAGTTAAGACTAATGGATAAACATATTAATTATTAACGATTAATTATTAACAATATTTTTCCATTCATTTATGAATAATTGAATTCTAATTAGGTTTGAGAGAGAGAAAAGGAACGAGATATTGATATGATAAGCGGGAAAAGAAATTCCTAAAAAGTCTTAAAAGTTGTAAGAACAGAATCCTTCTTTTCTTGGAAAATTATTTTGAATGATGCTATTTTTTAATTGGGTACTAGTTCAACCAGTACTAGTCAGAAAGTAATCTATGTCTTCATACATCTATATTTATACATAAATATATATTAATTCATATACTGTATAGTATATACCTAACTTTATAACTAAAATAATTATTAAACTAGTTCCACTTGGAAAAAAACAGAAATCTATTTTTTATGTAATATACACATTATATTATTTTACTAATATATACAAAGGAATTGCTTTTAATGAGATATAAATCATAAATTATGACAATAGAATATTTACCTAGCTAATTCGTATAAACAGTACATCAGAAAAATGTTTTGAATAATATTTACCAAATGAATAAATAAGATAAAATGGTAATATGAAATTTTCTTTCTCCTTCCTCTCTCCCTTTCAAATTAATTTCTTCCCTAAATATCATTTCCTTACCTGAAGATTTCATCATTATTAGGTAGTTAGGATAAATTATCTAAATCCTAGTTCATTGTACATAAAGGTCAAGATGGTAAAAGTAAAAGATAATCTTTTCTAATGAAAATGCCAAAATAATTTGAGAAAATCATAGGTGCGAAATCTATTTAACATTTTGCAAATGATTATACTTATTATTCTACCCTAATCTGTTAGCGCTCCCTCTCCCTCTCCCCTCTGTCTCTTAGATTTCTCATTTACTGTATACTTGCTATGAATGATATACCGCATATACTGTATATGTATATATATATTTTTAAATGTAGAATGCATAGTGTGCAAGACCTCTCCTTTATAATCTAAATGTACAATTGTTGAAATACAAGAATAACGTTTTTATGCTTCTATAATGTCACCCTAGAAATTTTTAGAGTAACACGAAAGGTTTAGAATTGCAGAAATTAACAAGATTAGTCTTAAGCGGTATAAAGATAAGGTAAGGATTACAGTAACGGATTTTGTATAAAGTATAATGTGTACTTGACTAAAGCCGATTCTTTAATACAATACATTTTCTTTCACTCTCTCACTCTCTAAATCAATTTTGCCATTAATTAGTTAGTTAAAATTTATTTTATTACATTTGTTAGATAAACAACGGTGTCATTGTTTATGCTACTATGTTTGTTTAAAGCTTATTACTGAGATATGAACACTTTGTATGTGTCTGAAGGATTCATTCCTTCAATACTCTCCCATACTGCAAGCAACAAGAATTGTTCATAAATGAAATTTAATCGATTGCTTCCACTATTTCTTGACAAGTTTCTCTTTCCATCTATTTAATATTTTAACAGTAACATTAGCATATATTAGTATATTGTATTTTTATTTTACAATGCAGAATGTGATCTTACGGTGTTTTCAATAGGGAATTCAGAAACTTTGTAAAAGCTTGTTCGCTTTCAGCCGACAGAGATGATCCTTGAACAGACATTTCTTCCAATAAATCATTCATTTCGATTTTTTGTCTTGAATCTTCCAGATAGACTAACAATTTCATAGAATTTAACGCTATCTCCAAACGCTCTATTATTGAAAGAGTAGAATTGCTTTCTATCTGTGGTATCATATCAACGAAACCTTCTAATCTTCTCCACCTACCCACATCTAGTTTATGTCTCTAAAAAGAAAAAGTATACATACATGATCTTTAATGAGATAAAAATTACTTTAAAAATGAATATATACCTTAAAATGAGTAGGCCATTCTACAATTGGCTTATCTATCAAGTGTCCTTTAACGTTTTCCCTTTTTTCTTCGCTCATAAAAGCCACAGCAAAAAAGTATGGTAATGTATTTCCAATTAAGTTCTTATAGGAGCTATCAACTCCGTTTTTGAAAGAGTAGCAAAATACTAAATTACTATGAATAAGAAGACATTTTTCATCAAGATCGTTAGTATTTGAATGCCAATCACCATTGATATCTTGTATGTTGGAGTTGTTAGATTCTAGACTCTTAGTTGGTTGATAGCTGCTATATTCCATCTTTGAAAATATTTTCAAGTGACTATAACGCAATTGAGAAACTATGGTTATAAATATATTTGTAAATAAGATAAATAATACCTGATATATTTCGTTTTAAGTAAAGATCTAATAAATGCCATATTACAACAGCAATGTAGAGTAAATGTTCAAGATATAAACAAAAAACCTTTTGAAATATATCTACTCGACTTTGTTTATAACTATTAGATTTCTGTTAAGAAGGTTATCTTTATGATTATCTTACGGAGCAAAGAAAATGAAACAACAAAATGTGATTCTATTTTGTTAAAAGATCCATAACTGCATATTTAAACTTTAAAATTTTGATTTAAATTCTTAATTTAATTACTAATTAAAAAAATTACATTATTTAATTAGTTAGTTAAGTTTCGTATCTATTATCCTTTATAGAAGTTGAAATAATTCTTCTATTGTTTAAAAGTAAAAACTGGTAATTTTGTATATTGTTCATTAACAATTAATTATATAAAAAATTCTTCTATTGATTTATATTTGATTTAAATTAATTGTAATTTATTCGTATGCTATTTATTGCGTTCTTAATGTAATTATATCCATTCTATTTCTCCATTCATTAGCATATTTCTTTTGAATACTATATGAAGCGACATCTACAGTTTATTATTTAAAACAGAGTAATATGCTAAAATACCATATAAATTAAACATTGTAAAAAGTTCGCACTTTATTTAATTAATTCCTTTTTATATTAAAATAATAGATCTGCTAGATAATTTCAACTATAAAAATTCTTAACCACGTTCTTTAAAAGTACGAAAATAACATGACAAATATTTGAAATGCCCTTGACTCTGTTCGTCGTTTTTCTAGAATTAGTTATACGAAAAAAAATACTACATACATATCTTATAAATAAAAATTTAAAAGAGGAAATTAATTATTCAAAAAAAACTGGTATAAAGTATATTTTTGTACGAAAATACTTTTAAGAATTTATTCGAATGAAATTAAGATTCCAATTTTTTTAGGATACCTGTAACCTAAAATCAATATTCTGATGTATAGAGATATGAGCGCCCTCTTTTGCTAGCAAAACTAATTGACTGAATAGCTATTAGAGAGGACATAAAGAGAAAGAAAGAAAATATAGGGTATTGTTTTAAAAGAGTCAGATCAGTGTATATACTGTATATACTGTATATATATATATATTTTATTTATTTTGTTTCGAAGTATCTTCAACTATTCTTCATCTCGTTAAGAAGATGAAAGAGGATAAGATCTTTTCAAGCTATACTCACGAAATTTGATCGATTGTAATTAAACCAAAGAAAGAGTGTTTGCTACAATGTTCTCCTTCTAGTTTATTATTATTTCATTTAACTCTTTAAAGCGGATAAAGTATATAGACAAGCATATATTTCCATACATTTATACACTTGTTTTATTATTTAATAAAATTATCTGATTGATTTCATTCACAAATTAGATGTCGACTTTGAGTCTCTTTTTATCAAAGCAAAGAAATGTGTCTACTACGAAGCGACTCATTAATAAATAATCTTTATTAGAGTTTTCTATCAATCCTTTTAAGTTCATTTTAGGTGCTAATATCATTCTTTAAAGCTTAAAGAGGCAAATTTCATTATACGTTCAATATAATAATGGTTATACTGTTTGTAGCATCAATAATAAGGAATTAATAACATTGACTCATTTCAAATATTACCTATATTGTTTTAAACCTAGGCATGCTCCACAGGTATAAACTTGCAATAAGATCTATATTCAATAGGTAATTTAGAAATTCGTAAACCTATTTGTAAAGTACAATAAAGCGGAATACTCGGTTCCTTAATGGTTATTCTGTCCTTAAAATAGATTTTTCCTTTCGATTTTATAGATTTTTTCCCCTCTTTTTTTTTTAACAAAAAAAATCCTTTTAAGGAGTAGAAGCCAATTTTTACACAAGCAAAAATCAGTTTGAAGCCATCGGTTGATAGAAATTGGTGTAATTGAGAAATTCCCTGTTCTTTTTTTTTTAAATTACTACAATTAGGTATTTGTTATGTTTTTCTCTTTCTCTTTGTAGTGTTATGATTATACGATCTTCATAATAACAATACTCTTCTTTCACTTTTGCCTCTCTACCTGTAATTTTTCCGTTAATATATTAAATTTTAAGTTGTAAAGCTAAGAAATTAATCTCTTACCTGTAATAACACTTTCTTTTCCATCAATAATTAGTAAAAGAAGTTTTTTCTATCTTCCGCTGGCGTTAGGCTTAGTTTTCGTTAATTACAGTTATTTCCAAACTCAAGATCGATCTATTGATATCGTTTTTTTTTTCTTATTCTTCTCTTTTTTTCCCCTCCTTTTTTTCCCTTAAAAAACATTAGTCGTTTGTTTTGATTTTTTTACAAAAGCTTTAAACAAGAAAGGAAGAATAGGGAAAGTTGAAATTCGGAAATTCACCGAAATAAATGAATTAGTAAAAGAAAAAGAGAGAGAAAAAAGACGTTATTCTCTCATTCTTTCTACAAAGTAAAAGGAAAGTAGTTATAATAAATTCTTTTTTGGATAAAATAATGAGAAAATACGCGATAAAAAGGACTCGAAGCAATTTTTCTTATACATTTTCAAAGTGTTCCAACTACAATAAATATAAAATCTTCCTTTCCTTGTGTTCCTTACCCTCTCCATTTGTAACATCTTTGAAGATGATGAACTAATGATAGTTTTTTTATACCTATCCATTTAGAAAGTACAAAATCGTTCCCTTTTTCTTTCTTTTTTTTTTCGTATAAATTGGATAGAACAAGAGATAAAAAAAGAAAAAGAGGGAGATACGACAGTTTTTTTAATTCTTAACTTCTTTTATCAAAAAGTATTTGAGTTTAGTTTGATCGTTTTATATATACTTTGTAATGTTTACATTCAAAGTTTAAACAAGGATTTTTCTCTTATTACCTTAGCTTTTTTTTTCAATCAATCTTTTCAATATAGGCATAAAATAGCGATAATATATATCTATAAAGAGAGAGAGAGAGAGAGAGAGAGAGAGAGAGAGAGAGAGAGAGAAAGGAATGTGTCATTAATTAAAGTCTTTAAAATAAACAATAAATTATATATATATATATATATATATGAATGATCTTTTTCCCTCTTGTCAGACATTTTACATAAAAAAAAATTAATTGTTCTTGTGAAAATAACCTGTCAAAAATAAATAATTATATATTAAAACAGCCAATGCCTTCTTTCTCTCTTTTTTAACCTATTTTCACCTTTGTTTTTTCCCTCTTTTTTTTTTAAGTACTCAAGTAACCTTTGGGAAGTGGGAGGGGCGGATATGTAAAAAGACAAAGAGTGGGGAGAGTAGAATAAGGATAAGATGAAGGAAGAAAAAGCGATCTGTATAATACACTGTATATACATATATACTAATACATGTATAGTCTTTATCTTTGTATAGCAAGTACGAATTTTATTTCCTGTTTTTCAACTATTTACCTGTTTACTCACGTGACATTAAGAAAATAACCATTTCCTTATAAATCGTTTATTCGAAAGACTATAATACAAATTAGGTCAGCCACAATTCTTTACTTCACAGGAAATAATTTGGCTCTTTCCCTTTAAAGATCATTTTTTATAGGTTTTTTTTTGTAAACACGTCATAATTTAATAACTGGGAAAAGAAACTGATCACTTAACGAACTAATTAAAACATTAAATAAGGGATTAATTATATAATAAAAAGTATAAAGAATATTGACAATTTCCTATTCTCTGCTCAGGAAATATATTAAAGTCGTTGAACAAAGGAAGAATATTCCTTTCACTTTCCCAAGTGGGTCAGGAAGAAGTAAGATGAAAATGAGGTTGCATAAGAAGCATATGATAGACAGTGGCGTTGCCTTTGTCAAACGCTTAGTGATTGGATAAGTATTATAACCAGCCAATCATCAATCAGCTAATAATAGAAAGTGACAAGCTTTTGGAAACAGTAGGACGAAAAACTGTGGTAGTAAACCCTCAGTGGGGTTTCGTCTTGCATTCGACTCATCTCTAATGGATTTATTTCACCTAAAAAGCATACTTTAGCGATACTTTCACCCATATTAGACGCTCAGTATTAATACTAACGGACCTCTAAAAATGATTTTCTACTAGGTAAACCATATTTTCACAAAGAGGCAGTTGTTAATTGAAAGAAGAAAAATACATATAAAATCCTAATTAAGGAAAGAAGCTTATTACAGCTGAAAAAGCAAGAAAGATGGAATGAAATACAGTTAGATAGAGAAGGAAAGAATGACAAGGAAAAAAGAAGACAGCGACTGAGAAGGGAATAAGTGTTTTAGTATATACTAGCATATAGCATACTGCAATCTACTAAGCACTTACAATTCGTGTATAAATTAAGAAAAGTAACAGAGAAAAGTGGTTGATCCTTGCCAGTATACAGTAGGATGGGTAGATAGGAAACAGCTGTATAGACCAATTGTTTGCATCCTTCTTTGGACGACAGATAATTAAGCCAGAGGAATAATATATTCTCCTATAGCAATCTATGTCGTTCTATAATCAATACGATTTTCATGGTGTTGACTACGTTAATTAGCTTCCCTTTTCAATCTATATATACGTAAAATATTGAAAAAAAATTTCATAAGCTCTCGAAGTAACCTTAATTTGTCTGTCCCTCTTCAAAGTCGATTTACCCCTATTAATTATTAAGTATGTCATTTCTATCTATATTAAAAGCTAAATTACTTTTGATGATAAGTAAGAATTTATACAACATGAATATTTTATTCTTTCCGTAATATCCTTTATTTGTTAAACACCTTTTAATTCAAAAACTAGCCTTCTTTACTCTGTGGAGCTTGTCCATTTGCTATATTTATCACTTTTTTTCTCTTCTTCCCTCGGTATATTTCCTTCTTCCCTCTTTTCTCTCTCTCTCTCTCTATCTTACGCTGACTCTGTCTTTTTTCTTTCTAGCCTATTTTTTTAAAGGAGAGTCTTTTTCTTTAACATTGAGGAGGGAAAGAAAAGAATGTTTGATATACATAAAAAACTAACCAATACCATCCGTTGTTTGGAAATTACACAGCAGTGAAACACAATTACATCTAAGCTTCATTTCTTTTATTATTTTCGAACAACCTTGACCTCTTGCGACGGATAGTGATTCCTTCTGGCGAAAAAGATAGGATATTATATGCTAAAAATATATATATATATATATATATATATATATATATATATACTTCATGTATGTTATATGTATATACTATATATAAAGTGTATATATATACTGTCTATATTGAGTATATTTATATATTTGCAGAATATAGATATGTATATGTGTATTGTTATATTTATATATCGTACGTGAAACAACTTGTTTATGTATTTATAAATGAAACTACCAATAAAATATGAATGGTCATAATTTATTCATGAGTAAATATTATGGAATTGACACTTTTCTATAATTTTTCGATTTCTTATTTTTTCCAGTTGGATGATCGTTCAATAACTAATAACCAGATATTCTGTGTTGAAATTTAATAAAAACACTTCATAAAATACAGTCTGGCAGCTATTTAATATCAGGGCGTTAGGATAAGTAAGTGGTGAAGGAAGAGTAAGAAAAAACGCAGACAAACTGGTCAAGTTGCTCCTGTTTATTGCATTCCTATGGGAATTATAGGAAAATATGAAAGACTTTTAAACATTACAATAAGGCTTATTTATTTGTGCGAGTTGAACGACTTCTAAGGCTATGAGAACGTTATGTAATAGATAGAAAATTGTCCTAATTGAAATAGCTGGATACAAGTAGAAAGAGAGGGAGAGAGAGAGAAAAAAAAGAGATAGATAGAAGAAATAAGAATCTTAACCTTCAAACAGATGGAAAATTAGGTATAGTTAAACTAGAAAGAAGTTTATTTCTGTTTGCAGTAAAGTAAAAGATTAGACTAAATACAAATGTACATTTTTTCTTTATTTTACTCCTCTAAATTTCCTAATCTTTATGCTATTTTATTACAAGCTTTTAGAAGAACATTAGCGATAACGTAATACCTAAAAGAAGAATAAGAATAAAAAAAAAACGAAGGCCGAAATGTATTAGGAACGCAAAGAGTTTGCCTATTTTAAATATGTTTGCCCTATTTTAGACTTTATATACAAATATTTTCAGTTAATCATTTTTATTAAATATTTAACTATTTACGTTTGTCAATATCAATTAAATCTACCAGTGAAACATTTAAAAACACATTATTCTACACTACCATAGTCCCCCATTCTGGACAAATTGCGGTTGTATAGTTGTCGTCCAGTAGGCCAGTCTCCTACAACTCTCGGCTTTAAAATAAACTATACTATTAGAAGAACTTCGTAATGAAAATAATGTAATTGGGGGCGACGAATGCAATTAGCAGTTTGTTTTTTGTTTTCTCCAATCTCTATTGTATTAATGAATTCATATAAAGCCTTGTCTATTTCTAAATTAAGGAACATAAAAAGAGACGCTCGCATATGTTATTTGCTTTGTAAAAAAATATCGACCAAGAGAGAAGATGACGAATTTGCCTTGGAAATTAAGCAAGCGTTTGTTGACGCTTTTAATGCGCTAGATATAATTATATAATGTTTCCTTTGTTTATGCGCTTAAGAATTGATGCTATTCCATGGAAACTGGCTAAACAAAGGAAAATCTTTTAGTAAACAGGGGTAAAAGCATATGAGAAATATCATTAATGATTCAGCAGAAGAATATTTATACCTAAGGATTTGAGAAAATTTATTAAAAGAGAACTATCCATTGGAAAATTGTGGTTACTTTTTGTATTAAAAATTCTAGATAATAGTGTTATAATATAACAGTCACATCACCTACATACAACCGTTGAATAAACACTCACACATCTTTCGCTTTAATAACAAAGGAATAAACACCAGTCGCAACTTGGAATTTTTTTTTTATTACGATAGACTTACACTCGAAAAGGCTGCAGGTAAAATACAATTAATTTAGAACTGATACGTATACATATATATACACATACGTATACATGTAAGTATATATATATATATATATGTATTGTATATACATTTATATAAAAAGTAATCTACCTGAAATGAATGTGTTTGAAGCATACAAGTACACGCACTGACATCCTTACACAATTTGCCGCAAAATATTGCTATCTCACCATTATGCGCCTTACAGTCTTCTTAATTATGCAGCCAATATTCATCATCATCATCATCATCTTTACCAAAATATGCATAGTGTGCTCAATATGTAAAAAGCGAATCCAACCTATAAAAACTCGTACAGCCAATTAGAACACGCAGACAAAAGCCGATTAAATTATAAATATTATCTCTTTTATCAGCTTTGGCCAACGCTACCAACATACCCATTTTTTTTAAGAAAAAAAATTTTCTAGAATTTTCATAACACTACAACAAGAATATACATTGGATCTTTTTTTTTTAAAACTAGTTTCGAAAACAGATATGACGCAGAGAATATACACACATGGAAACGGCCCAGTCTCACCAAGAGCGGTAACAGTCTTTTTAAAAAAGAACATATTGGATAAAAATTAGTGTAACATATACAAATATATATATATATAAATATATATATATATGTACATTTATAAATTCACACATACATATATATATATATATAATCATATATCCATATCTATATATATATACATGCTAATATATTTGTACACACACATATATATATACATACATATATATATACATATGCAAATGAATATATTTATATACACTATATATGTATATGTACATTCATACATGATCGACGAAAGCACAGAAATTTTTTAAAAGATAAAAGATAAAAGAATGGAACTGAGGTTTCATTTTTTACAAATATTAATATTTTTAGCCAATGAAATGTTTTAAAAATAAAAGTAATTTAAGTAATTTATCTTTAACGCAGTTGATGAAAACGGGCCATAAGTATTTCAAAAAGACTATAGGCTGATTTTAAACACTACCAACCGCGTTTGCAAAAGGAAAATATTCACGGAAAAGAAATTAACAACCCAAAAAAGCGGGCTTAAGAAGCTCGAAATGTTTTAAAAAGCCCGCTTTTTCACACAAACATTACAACCGCAACAAATAAATCAATGGGATAATAATATGAAATGAAAAAAAAGGAAAATATAATCTAACGCTCCTAAAACTTAAATTTGTTAAACAAAAAACCACGTTTAATCTGAGATAATCTCGAAATGCGTCGAACCCGCTCTATCGTTACGGTGATGTTTAATATTTTTGGCATAAGCTTTACATTCTACTTGCACAAGAACACCTTCTCTAATATTTTTAAATTTTATCATGACGACTGGTGACAAATATCCACGTTGTTGCTTGTAGGGGTAAAATTTCTTGTGGAAACCAACAACTGAATATTGAATTTGACCCACTAATTCTTTATCTAGTGGGTTTTCTCCAAAACATCCGACAACAACATGGTTGCCGTCAAATTTTGCTTGTACTTCTGCCGGGATGTCTGAAGATGTATTCCCACTTTCGAAAACTTCTGGTTTCCAACCGTATATTCTATTAAGAGTAAGCGCAACGCATGGCGTAGAAGATGTGAAACCATAATCATTTTTCTGAAAATAGTTAAACTGATATTAGACAGCATTCTTAATTATAGATATTCTTTATCAAGCCTATATTTATAAAAATTGTTTAAAAAAAACATTAAGTCTCCTTCAAGAGACTATGTCTTTTTTTTTCAACGAGATTTGCTTGTTTTACTATCTATATCTACTGTTAATATATAAGCCGCATGTCTTTTTTATCTTGAAGGTAACTATCAGAATCGTTTATGGAAGAATACCATATAGTGATCGAGTTTACTTCTTTCTACGACATGATTAAAAACTTTATGCTTATAGATAATGAAGTCTTAATTCTTATTAGCTGCCTATCTATAGCTAAACGAAGTCTAAAAAAGTCAGGATATCGAAGATAAATCAAGTTTTGTGTGTCAATTACAATAAGCCATTTTATCATATATATACAGAATAATTCTAAAAATATTTTCCTTACCTCGTGGCAATCAATTGCTGACCAACTATCTTTTACTATGCAGCCGGATTCGTCATCTGCCTCTTCGTCATCTCCACAATCTTTTAAGTTGTCTTTGTTCTCTTTTAAATAAGCTGTAACAAGTAGTGACACATTAAATTTTATCTAATTGCAATCGTCTGTCCTCGCTGACATTTAGCAAAACTCTTTTCTATTTTTAACTTAAAAATATCTTCTTTCATATATCAATAGAGCGAATAGCGTATTCATGGTCAAAATCTCTAAAAATCTATTAAATTTCAAATAAAATTTATCTTGACGTCTACAAAGGTTACTTTGCAATTCAGGATGACATTTACGTTAAGAGTTTATCTACGGTAATCTGCGGTTTACGTCAATGGAGTCAAGAGTATCAAAAAGATAGATAAAAATAAATATCATATAAAAACTTACGTTTCATAAATGTTTGAAGCCTATCCTTGATTTGTTCCTGACTGTCAGCTTGAAATCTAATCAAAGTCGATTCCACGTTGACTTGGGGTTCGAAACTCATACCTATTGATTAAAAAACATAACTAATATTTATTGGTAATTAAGGAAAAATGTAATAAAATATATTTCAAGCAGACTGTCGAAAGAAAGTTTTACAACTTTCGTCGTTCATCGCAATCGATCAAGATCAATGATCGGGAGTGGCAATCTTGACCTAATCTGAATACTTGACGGTGTCAATACGCCCATTAAAAAATTTCCACAATAATCTTATAAAATAGGTACTCGAAAGAGTATAAAATGATTTACTTTTTAACGGTATTTATATTTCGTGAATAGAGGAGAAAACATAAAAATCCATCGTTATTTAACAACAGTAGCGCCCTAAATCCGTACCGACTTACATATCTTCCGTCTACATTCTTTTCTAACAATAACGAATACAATTTGATGGACTCTCTCCATATATGTGATGGACTTTCCTGAAGATTGATAGACAATTTGATATTTTATATCAATTTTTAATCAGCTATTTCACTGTCTGATGAATTTTTAGCAGTTAATAACTGCCAATAAAATTGCAATTTAGCCTTAAAGAAAATCTTATTTCCTTCGTGATCTCACTCTAGCAAATCTTTATAAAGCTAAATGATCTGTCTAAAAAAATCTTTATCTGGTAACGGTAATACCAAAACAAATGATGCATATTTCCTATGAATACAAACATTAAGTATCGAACACTTAATCTCTTTACACGCACCAACGTTGTGCAAACCTATAATCTCTAATAATAAACGCTCCATTTACTGATAATAACGAATTTCAATTTACAATATAAACCGAACCCTTTTACGCTATACGAAAAAGAAATATTTTCTTTCATCAAATCCTTTTCCTCCCATAATTAACACACAACATTGTCAACAAATAATAGTTTCTTCACACTCCTATGCACGCTTGTAATTGTTTTTCTGTAATTAGACATCTAGCTACCGGTCAATAGTACAACTCATTTGCAATAATGTTATCGAAAGAAAAAAGTATTTGCTCTACATTCCCTCTTTAAATGTTTATAAAAACGTAAAAGTATCAAAAATATTTATATATTTAAGCCAAATTCATCAAAATAGTTGTTTACTCCTATGTAGATATATAGCAAATTTTATACGATATTTTCCACGTAGATAGATCAAAAAGAACAAGTTATTTGTAGGGGAGTATGTATCAGAGGAATACTTCGAGAGAAAAATGTAGAAAACTATCTTCTTATTTGCTAAACTCCTGATTGATTTGCTACGAGAAATATTTGATCCATAGAGAATATTCCGTAAAATTTGATGTGAAACTAAAACTAAACTAATTATAAACACATTTTCTACTCTGAAGAAAAAAGATTTAAACCATTTTCTCTCCATTTTAAATTTATCCAAAGAAGAAAAGACAATTTGACTTATAAAACTATAAAATCTAGCATGACGTTGTTTAATAGTCAAAGGCTTTTTTTTTACACAGCAGGATAAACAACAATGTTGTTGCAGCGCAAAATATATAGAAAAAATTATATTTTCATTACTGTATTTCTTGTTTGCCATGAGAGTACCATTCAAATAGAGTATAATTTCAGTAAAAAAATATATCATTTTCTTGTAATGAAATCGTTGCATTTATATTATAAATTGATGTGGAATCTTTTTAATTTATAAACTAGCTTCTAAAACAAAGTATATCAACACCCAATCTTTTTACTCACACCTGCCAACTGCAAAAAAACCGCAGAGTAAAGCGCAAGCTCAGCGAAATATTCGCCAAGATGGTAAAGTTTACGTAAACAGCTGCCTGCGTCCGAAAGGACGCAATCAGACTACAAACCATGCAAAAGAATCCTTCTAAGCTTCGGCATTTCGGGGCCTTTTGCCTAACCTAACCGTAAACAAGTGACGTCAGTATGGAAAAATCTCGTAACTTTGCTTGCAAATATATAAAAAGCCGTTGGACGCCTCGAGGAGAATTTTACCTCGCAGCCTTCGAATAGTGCATTACTTCGTCTTACGCCTCTTGGAGAAATAGCTAATTTTTTTCTTCCATTTTTAGAAACAAAATGAAAGACAAACCGCTCCTGTCGGTCTTGTTAATAAAGGATTATTGAATCATTACGTCAGCCTAATCCCATTCGCATCAATTATACGTTGAGTCCTATTGGTTTCGTCCTTTTTTTTTCAACGAAAAATACTCTCTAAACAGTGATATATACAAAACCGAAAACTATAACGTATGACGTTTATTTTACATTACTTTTAATCAGCATTTACAGCATTGAAAAAAAATTAAAAGATATCGATAGAATATATATCTATAAGATATATTTACACTAAAATAAATATCTGTACCTATTTTAAATCGGACGAACGATTTTTTTCTATTACTGGCTTTCAGGAATATAAATGATTAGCCCTCTGATTCATAATAATTGCACCTTGCCAATTTTAGTTTGTCGGCTTGACTATTATATTTAATTCTAACTTTGCTACCAATATCAGATTTGATTGCAATACATCATTCGCACGACTTCTTCTCTCAAATTTATAGAAGAAAGTATCAAAGCTATGTGACAAACCAAGACAGATCAGACCAACAAAAAAAAGAAATACAAGTCAAGTTTCTTAAACGACCCAACAGTTGTCTAAGTCAAGAATGCAAAATTGGCTCGTGTAATCCATCTGTCACATTCGCATAGAAGAATCGTTTGCAATAATAGTGCAACTTCTTCCCACGTCTAAAAACGCAATATCAGCACAAAATGTTAATAGATCAATACTGCCTAATCAATAACTTTGCCTAGATTTTCGCTTTCTAGGTCTGCTTCGAGTGAATGAAAAATCTATCTATTATACGCTCTTTTTTACGTGATACATATCAATGAAATAAATTACGAAATCGGAATCAATTACCAGCCAGTATGCATCTCCATTAATAAAAAAAGGGTGTTTTCTTCACAAAAAAGGTATCAATACTGAAAGAAATTTCACAACGATTTTTCCTAAAGGTCGAATTTAATTAACATTAAATTAATTCATTAAAGTAATGCTTAGTTGTAACTCTTGAAAGACAAACAAAAATAGGTAATGATTATTGCTGTACGATAAAACAAACACTTGAATCGACAAAAGACGTGTTTTTAGCCTACAAAAGACGATCTGTAATAAAAATTTCTAAGCAAGCAATATTTGCCATTCATTCTGAAGTATTTGCAAACATTTACATACGACCTTCAACTAGGACATGCATACAAAAATTCAAAAGCTGTATGCTAATTTAATAATTTATACAACGGGAAAGACAGATAAATTATGGAGGAGGGGAATAAACCACGATTACTTGTTATTATCAATACTTAAGTTAGTATGGTAGAGCTATTGTTGTAGCTATCGATGATAAACTTTCGGCTTAGTATTCATTCGAGATATTGAATACTTCCAAGACAATGGATTTCAAAGCTCAAGTATTATCATTGTGTTATCGCAAAGAAAAATGTGTTTAATTTTTTTAGACGCACTCGCCAACACCGATTGACACCCAGTAAAAATTATCGAATCGATAAGAGCAGAGTGGAAAAATTTTCTATAAATATATATATAGCGATCTACATTATATTATCTTGCAATAAAATAACTGGGCCTATCTTATCTCACTTATCAAAAGGGCACAAAGTTTTTTGAGGCTGTATTCTCATTAGCGTTTAAAGGAAAAAATAGTCGTCTGCTTGAAAAAATATTGACTCACAAAGAAATGAATTTTAAATTCAAACCTGGATTCATTTTCAGTAGACTGTCATATCCTTGAAGTCTTGGTTCATTTTTATCGATTGTGGTGAAGAAGAGGGCCAACATGGCGGCGAAGAAAGCTGCCAGGCACGAATAGAAGACGAGGTAGAACACTCCGATTTTTGCTGTTTAGATAGAAAGGTCATATTATTACCATTGTTACTTTGAATAAACGAATATAAAACGTTTGAAACGTATGAAAATTACCATCTCACAATTCATTAAACAGATTAATCTATGTCTTTTAATTAATAAGAGATCACATGATATTAAATGGTTTTATAAAATTAATAGCATATGGGTTATGAGTGATATTTTAAATTAAATCTCCAGGGAGCTTACTATAACGAAAACTGTACCTGTCAAAGATCTAAATCCTTAATGTAACCATCTTTGAACCTTACAGCCTTTGCCTGATGTCTTTTTTAATAGCCTAAGACACTAAACAGATTACCCAAAAACTTTTCCTTAAGTCCCAGCCTTATAAAAAAAAACCTAGACTTTTTTTATACTTCTTTAATGTCATGAATAAAAAAGCGCGTCGTCTCTTAAATATAACTTGTGGCATACTGTCACGTGACTAAAATAGAGGTTTTTCCTGCATCGACCCTATTGTCCCCTTTTAACTTGTAGACCTCTACCTAGACTTTATATAATATCGATTGAAAAGAAAGAAAATTTTCGTCAATCAATTTCTTTTCGAATAGAACAATTTCTATTCGGTAAATACTATCATCGATTTACGTCCTCAGTTTAGTTTGAATATGATTCGATTTTTTTCGTTCAGCTAAGAAAAATTCGATTTTTTTTTTCGTACTGATAAATAATGAAAAAGTTGTTTAATACATTTTGATAGATACTATGCTTATACTTGAGAGACCAAAGCGATCCACAGGTGATACACTTTTGAGGGTCAATCAACCGTAACACATTTTGAGGTATTTCTAGTTCCAATACAAAACACTACTGGAAATGATTTTTTACGTATAATATTATTTATCGAACATATGAGACACAGTTAAACTACTCAAACATGCTTCTTTTTTTTAAAAGAGCACGACGTATTCAAGGTCAATATATATTGCCCATAATCGATCGAAAACGAAGGAATATCTGACAATAAACACTTACCCCAGCTAATTCCGGTTCTGCCCATAACAGTGCCATTTTTACTATCGTACATAAACTCAAGAAAAGCCTGTAATTTTGACTGATTATTGGAATCTGACGACGCCATGTTTTTAGGCAAAATGAGCCGGGGAACGAATCGAGTCCCGGATGTTGGGGCAGGTGGCGCTCGTTGGTTTTTTTTTTCAATATTGTACTCATTATAATATCGCCCTTTTATTTTCTATAAATTTACTGAAAGAGATATTAGGTAAATTTAAAAAAAAATACTTATAAATTTTATTGACCCAAATTGCTATAAATCATTTAAATTAGCCAAAAAAAGCTACTAAATTTAATATGATGAATAAGTGTTTTATGCAGCGCCATCTTTCGATAAATTATCACTTATAAATTCTAAGATTATGTATTCATTAAAATTTTTCAAATAACGATAATACACGTATCAGAATAACTAATTAACAACTATTGTACATTAGTGTTGTTGAGTAACAGTCAAAATCAATATGAGAATTTA